TTCCCTTTAATGGACAATTTACATGCAAAACAAAGTCAAACGAATTGTATTCGGTATGATAATTTTTTTTATTTATTGGCAATTGGAATAAATTCTAGACCCAATTGTAGAAAAAATTATTACTTTAATGGATAATTTTCATAAAAAACAAAGTTAAACGGATATCAAACTTTCAACATTTTCCAGGTGGAAAATTATACCAATTAAACATAATTAATTATAATTCCCAATAAAACAATTCCTAGACAATTCAATTTCTTATAATTCATTTTTTTTCCACATTTACAATCAAACGAACCCTAAATGTTATTTATGGTAGGTGTTGTCTTCCTTGAATAAAATCTAACACGACTATGATGGAGAAGTCCCAAACGACAACATTGATCTAAGTCGCAATGATGCGGCAGCTACATTGTTTATTGATAAATTATGCACGATAACTTCATTAAGCACACGTTTGATCCACATTTTATAAAACTCATTTTTAAATATTTATTTTCAATCCCAAATTTTACGGACTCACAATTTTTTGACTTTTCAACAATATGTTTTATTAATTTTTATTAAAACATATTAAATTTTTAATTTTTAACAAAAATCATATCGGGACTAAAATAACATGAGTTACCCATTACCACTTAATCTAACGTTGATCATCCACGATGATACCTGTTCTTACCAAATTCACCTTCACAGCAAAAGAGAGGCGATTCTTGTTTATGTATGCCACGTGCAATGCACACGCGTGGACTCCTCCGTAACCCGGCTTAGATATTTCCGCTCTCTCCTCGAAAGAATCGAACTCATTTGGCCCTAACCGGCCCAATCTTGTGACCCGAGCCCACAATCCGACATCCTTGTCACGCGGCCGAATCCCACGCGAATGCGGCGTATCTCGCTCGTTCTCTCTCCTCATCTCATCCCATCGCTTTTCCCCCACCTTTCATAAATCAACGGTCCAGATTCGCCGACGCTCTCATCTTGAATTCGCCGGTGGACGTTCCTCCCGAACAACCCCCACGGCCTATACATACGTACCCGTCGATAATTTTATTTAAAAAAAAAAAAAATTGTGATCTTTATGGCGTCTGATGATGAGGATGAAGTCCTCGCTCAATTCCTGGAATCTGAAGTCCTCGCCGAACTCTCCGATCAGGTAATTATGTTTCTAACACGATCTTGGATTTTTCAGAATTTTTTTTAACACTTTTATATTTTATATATATATGCTGCATTAACAGGATGTGTGTTATACATGGGGATGTATATTTTTGTCCTCCATTGCATTTAGCACTTTGGTTATTTCATTGAAGAATTGGGGTTTTAAGGGGTTATAATTTATATTTTCCCTAAATTCTCCAAATATTTTTCTGATTAGTCTATGTATTGTTGCCTTATAATTTAAAAACAATATTATCAGGCTTAAGATTTACATTATATGTAGAGATCCAAATTTTAGGGTTTTGGCGGCATAAATTCCCTATTTCCAAGTTTTTTGTATTCCTGTTTCTTTTAAGAGGGCTATCATGCTTAAATATGGAACATATATTTATATTTAATTAATAAATTGTTTGATTATTTTGATTTGGCTATTGAGTTTTTCTTTTACTTAGTATAAATCATCTATTCAGACTGGGACTGCATAGCCGGGCACCAAAAATAGGCATGTATAGTCAGGCTCAGGGCACAAGTTTCTTCTTCCTATCATAAATATAGAAAAGTGCAGTAACAATCATGCTTTCCACAGCAAGTATCTCCTTTTTTTTTTTTTTAATAATTCTATAATTTATTCTTACTTTTAGGATTTTAAAAGTGGGATTTATATACATTTCATGGGTCTGTTGTGTTGAAGCACTGTGCACATCATTAATGTTTTATCATTTGAAATGTAATTAATTTACGAGTTATATGTTGATTATTGGAAAAAATGCCCTTTGTAACACAACATGTTGAAGGGTTTGGATAAGTGTGTGAGTGCTAGATAAGAGTGTTTGTGTGACATGCATTGGAGAAGGATCCAAAATGACGATTTCTAAGGTTCAATACGGAGATAGTCTACAAAATGCTGGACAAATAGTCAGGGTCGACGGAGTGGGATCTATGTTTGACATGTTGGAACAACGTTATCGACCGAAAGGGACATGTTTGCCTTCTGGAAGGCACTTGTGCATATTTCACATCCAGCATACCTTAATCTTAATTTTACTGAAATTGAGTCTTCAGGATTCCTTCTGTTCTAAAATTACTAACTTGTACAATATTTACAAGATTTCTGTATGATATAGACATGTTTACTTGTGCATTTGAGCATAACCATGGTCTCTTGGATGACGTGTTGTAGGAAGAGTTGAAGACTGTGGACGAGACAGTTGAGTCGGAGGATGATGAAGCAGAGGAGGAAGAGAGAGATGGAAAGAGATTGCATATTGAAGATGGTTTGCTAAGTGAAGAGGAAGAGAAGAAACAGCTAGAAGCAAAGAGAATCAGAGTCGAGGAAGGTGAAATCAGTGATGAGGGATTATCAAGGGCATTAATATCGTCATCTTCATCATCATCCATGGAGTTGGAAGCTGAATCTACCTTGTTGCCTTCAAAGAATAGTGAGATAATCAAAGTTGACAATAACAATAATGGCAAGGAGAGTAGGGAAAGTAGACCGGTATCCAGGAGGATTGAAACTGGGGTTTGTAGTAAAGTCCCTCCTGAATTGTTCCATCACATCCTCAAATTTCTCTCATCAGAGGTATCTAGATTTTCATTTAAATTTTTTGTCATATGTGTGTTTTTGCTGTTCCGATAATTTGATTCTGTAATCTTTTAATGAGTTGTTACTTATTATGAAGTTCATTCATCTGTCATGTTTGGACTGCAGGATCTTATTGCATGCTCATTGGTGTGTAGATTCCTAAATTATGCTGCTTCAGATGAGTCTTTGTGGCGTCGCCTGTGAGTAATTTTATGTTCACTTTCACCTTGTCCACAGCTGATACTTTTCCATGTTTGCACGTGCATGGTTTATAACTATTGCTATTGCAACATCTTATTTTTCATGGTTCTTGCCTTCTTTCCTTTGTGGGTGTTAAATTTTTTGCACATGGTGCAGTTTTCTTCATTTTCCACATTTTAAATGCTCACTTACTAATAAATATGCTCCATAAGAAGTTTTAGGACGTTCAAATACAGCTGTAAATGCAGAAAAGTTTCTTGTATTAACAGGACGAATGAAATATATCTTTCGAATGTATATTTTCTGGCAGAAAATTGAAATTCCTGAATATTTGTTTCAGTATCTTCTTGGGTGCAGTACTTCTACGCACGCTTGTTACTGCATGTAGCCAGAGTTTCAGTATTGCTCATGCTCATGCTCATGCTCATGCTCTTGCCCATGTTTCTTGTTTTTGTGAGGAACAATAAGGTTTTCCATTACTTTGTTAAGCATTTGCCTTTTTATTTGGTTCCAATCTAAGAAGTAAATCTAGTTTCCCCGTACTTGGTGATGTACATCTTAAAGTGTTTGGAGTTGGTCGATGTTTGACCAAAGCAAAGGCCATTAGTAACCTTGAGGGGTAGCTCAATTGGTCAAGCCTTGTGTTTGCTCTCCAGTGGTTACCAGTTCGAGTCCCCTCATGGCCACTAAGGTGAGTATTCGGTCGTAAACTTCAGGGACTCGTGTGATTAGTTGAGGTGTGTGCAAGCTGGCCCGAATATCCACGGTTATCAAAAAATAAAAGCAAAGGCCATTAGTTTGCACATGGATTTGACACATTTCCTTCCTTCCCTCTTGTAGTCGATGTTTGTGCCTTTGACGAGCTTTAAAAACTTGTACTAATTCTAACGTCAAAGTTGTGCTTCTCACCATAGTTGACCTCATATTTTCAATGTGGCTATCCTCCTATCAACTTAAAACAATTATGCTTATATATCTACTCCTATGCACTCTATTAAAGAAAAATAATATGTATAGTGTTTGTGTAGATACTGCATGCGGTGGGGTCTGCTGCCCCCCAAAAAGCCACGGGAATGTGCTTGGAAGAAACTTTACATTCAGGTAATTTGAGATTCGAGTTTGAATTCTATCATTTAGTTACAACTTTACTTACAATATCTATGTTATAAAATTGTATGTATCCTTATATCAATCCTTTGTAATGGGAGGATTAAAGGTCAGTATGTCACATGTAATTATTATTACATTTGATGTTAAAAATGACATTTTTTTAATTCAATCTCCTGTGACCATTAGGTGCATGTCTGAGGGCTATATTCTTGTCTTCTTTTTTCGTAATAGCTTCACAGTGAATCCGTAATTCTGAATATTTCGAACTTCATGAATGACTACATTTGTGACACCATACAAGATTGAATTTTAACATGCATACTATTATTTTTATCCTGCAGCGTGATGAAGAAGATATGGCAGAGTTTGTTAGGGGTTGCCCTTCTGAATTTAAAGAATATTACATTCAAATGCAGGTGGCAAAGAGAAGCCAAGCACCTCTTCCTTCTCAGGTAAACAGCAAATACTGTTTGATGAAATGTTTATGACACGTCTAAATGTGGATTGATCGACAAATGCAGCTCTTGAAGATATTTCAGACTAGATTACATATAAATTCAAATACTACAGATTATTGTTGTATGTTACAGTAATAAAACTATAGACCTATAAAAAATTCTCTGTTAAGAATACATTTATATGCATATTTTTACTTCTTTCCACCCTTCCCATAAAAAATTATCAAATTAATGAACAATTAATAATCCTAGGTTTGTCTTGTGAACCCATACCAGAGTTCTGAATTTTTTATTCTCCCTCCAAACATGGGCACGGACACGGGCCATTGAAAGGACAATAGTATTAGGAAAGATCCTTAGATGTGCATATCTGAGATAATTATTTCAATAGTCTAATAAACTTTAATGACCAAAAGAATTATCTGGCAAGGACTGGTGATTATCTTTCTATTGCTGTGGTTTATTTCCATTCTCTGTCGGATTATGTTATGTTGACTATTTTTTTATTCATTATCTGCTATCTGATTATAAGGTGAATGATGACCGTATAATTCTCGACAAGACACTTGCCGATCAAGTCTCCATGTGGAAGAGTAGCCGAGGCCTGGCCGACACAGTGGTATCCGATCATGCTTGCTCTGGGGAAAGTTGCACTTACTATCAAATTGGTGATGTATTTGTTTGTGAGAAGACTGGGCATGTTCATGGTAAGAATTGATCTTTAGGTTTTGGAAAATGTGAAGTAGTGATAGTATATAAACAAAACATATTTTTCAAAGGATGTAAACTCCTTGATACTTATTAGCTGGGATATTGAAACTTGTTGGCTTTTCCTCGTTTTGTACAGTTTGCGATGACACGTGCAGAGAAGTAATTCCAGATCCGACGAACGAGCTCTTGGTGTGCACCATTTCTGGACGCTGTTTTGACAGATTGCTGTCACCAGCTGAAATGGAACCAGATGCTGTAAGACATTGTCCTCTTCTGCACTAGTACTTTTTTCTTGTCTTTGCTTGTGGGGTAGTAAGATTCCCATCTTGCTATAGCTATCTTATTAACCGATTTCTCTCATTCACGTCCACAATCTTGAAAATAGAAAAAGCATCACAAAGAAACACACATATCTGTTTGAATTTATCATAAAAATATTCCATCGGAATAATGCAAATTAAATAAATGACATGTACTTTTTGACTATGATGATAAAACATGAAATACTATTATTTTTATTATTGTTATGGAACTAGTGTGACCTGATGCTTTGATCTCGACTCTCCCGTTGTCATCTTTTAATCTGATGCTTGTCTAATGTGGTTGAAAATTCAGGAACAGCAGCAAGGTGGTGCTGCTGATGAAGCAGAGCCGTTTATGGGATCTGGCCGGTTTGGTACGAATCTTTGTAGTATCTCTAAACTTTTGAAGTGATTTTATATTCTTATTCTTTTTGACTGATGGCATTTACGCGTTTCAGCTCGAGCATACCTACTTGGATATAGTTGCAATGACGAGCAAGAGCTAGAAGCCTGTTTGAGGTTTTGCTGATCTAGTTTTGCATTTATAGCTACCGTATGCCTAAAAATAGTTTGGCTATTTGCAAAATGGCATGGAATATGTCCAAAAATGATTCTCACAGGATATTTAATATTTTATAGATAATAAAATTACAGTTGCTTAGAAGCTTAGATATTGTGATTTTAGTGTTTGTTTGGGAAATATTATTTGAAGTGAAATATGATTTTTATTTTTTATTTTTTGAGATTGTGTTGTTAAAAAAGTAAGGAAAAGTTCATGTAAAGTTGAAAATGAGTTTGGAAAAAATGATTTCAAATAAGATGTGCCAAACAAACCCTTAATTTATTGACTTCTTTGCACGGTTATGCTCTCCATGGATCAGTTAAAAGTAGAGATCAATTTGTGCTAGATGGTGCAAATTCGCATGGCAAGGGCTAAAGTTTTAAATTATTTGTTCAAGGCATTGAGCATAAATTTACACTGCCATATTATGTAAACGGAGCTAGAGTGATTGATGTTAAAATTGTATGTTCAGATATCGAGCTCGAACTGAGACGGGCTTGATCATCTGGTGGCAATAGAATGTCTTCTTGAGCTTAGGGGGTGTTGACCCGTAGCCATTTTGATGCCTAAATTAGTATTAGGGAGTAAAATAATTAATTGCGCAACGCTTGTTTGATAAGAATTGGATTAGTTGAACGGGAGTAAGTCTTATCGATGCAACTTGAAGCATAAACAAAATAACAAAAAAATCACTTGTATAGCAATTAGAGAGCTGTAAATTTTACAGCTCTCTCTAATTAGTGTGGGTCTCACAAATTAATTAATTTGTGGGGTTCACACTAATTAGAAATTAATTTGTGGGGCTCACACTAATTAGAGAGGACTGTAAAATTTACAGCCCTCTAAACACTGTAAGTGTAGTGCTGTTCACAAAATAAATATGGGGTAAGTAACAAATGTGAAATCTTGTTCGATTTAATCGTAATTGAAGATAAAAAGTTAAGGGGGTGTTCTTTTTACTATTTTCAAGTCGATTTCTGTTTTCGATTTTTCAAAACAGTGAAAACGCGTTCTCTTTCCTATTTTTCAAAAAGCATTTTTGAAAACAAGTTAAAAATTTACAAAGAAAATTGAAAACGACAAATTTGTTGTTTTGAGTGTTTTCAATTATAATCAAGTCAAAATTTTTAAAACACGTTTTGAGTATTTTTAAAACAATTTTTCAAAATGTCATCAAAAACACATTTTCAACCATTTCAAAATATACTCAAAACACAAAACTCAAACACAGAGAACATCCCCTAAGCTTTTTAAACATCTCCACGTGAAGTGGGCAAGATAACAATGGGAATTTGACATTATCAAATATATTATTCTCCAATCCTTCAAAAAGACTTTCAAAACTAAACTCATCTAATGCAACATCTGCAAATTGAACTTTTTTTTTTTTTAATCATCGCGAAAGATTCATTATTTAAAATCACCATTGCGTTCCTTGCCAAGATAGTAAGAAGTCCATGAATGTAAGATAATCGTGCCACTAACTCTGTATTTCTAATGCCAAAAAAGCCATATTGCTCATCTCGAGATGGGTTCCTCGTAAAATTTAGCGGACTCTCATAATCCTCCAAATCAGTCTCGTCCCTGTTTGAGCAACTTTAAAATTTTTATTCTCATTCTTTTACTCATTTTCAACCACACATTCTTCAATAATTCATCACATCAACCACACATTCTCAATCAATCTACGATTCCAAAATTCATTCTTTCAATATAATGTGGCTCAAACACATCCTAAATATGGAGCAAAAAGATACGTGACTAATTCTATCTCAACATTCATACAAAATCTAAATTCCTATACTCCCGCCAATCCCTTAATTGGCAGCTCTCCTTAGGCCATCAGAAACTTCGTCATCCTAAAGTTTTCAGTCGACAGCTCTATACATGTAATCAAACCCGTGACTAATCCCACCATCGTGCTACCTCCCCTAGCTGCAAAGTGTGCGCTACGGCCACCACCACGTGTCATTGGCATAAAGGTCACGTGATGTGTTGTTGATGGATAACCCATGTGTCAAAATTTAAGTTGCTGACGGATTTGTATTAGTTCATCTCTACGGTCTCTATTATAAAAACAGACGTTGTGATCTCTAACTTAACCTTCCCAAAAGCGTAAATAAAAATANCGGATTTGTATTAGTTCATCTCTACGGTCTCTATTATAAAAACAGACGTTGTGATCTCTAACTTAACCTTCCCAAAAGCGTAAATAAAAATAAATATGTAATCACAAATGTGAATTCACGCGAGTTACGATAAAATCCCAAGTCTCTTTAAACAATATTCCTAACTAGACTTTTAAAACAAAACAAAAGTTACACCGGAAAACCTATTTTAATAAACTTCCGATTAGGTATAAAATAACAAAAGACTAATTAATTAACAACAATAAAATATTACGTTAAACGTGTCCTTTTTGCATCATTAAGTATCAGTGTGCCTTTTTCTCATTATCAAGAGTAAATAAATAAAATTGTGAACGATTGTAAATCAATTTGGTGGTCTTTATATATATATATTTTTATTATTTTTACTTTTTCATAGTATTTTTCAGAAATATTAAATTCTATGTAATTTTTCTCTTCCGGTATGAACAAGATCTTGAACCCATATATAACTTTCAAAAATAAAATAAAATACAGAGAATAAGGGCCGGGCAGGGCCCAACTTTTAAAAATAGGGCCGGCAGTCATAGGCCGAGGACCGGGCTTGTCTTTTGAAGGGCAAAACCTATCCAGCCCATTGTACCCCCTATGATAGCGGAGATTTTTCAAGTGGAAATTACAAAAAATCAGTTGTTTAAACTTCCTAATTCAAAATTC